TATTTAGAAATATTTGTAATAAGAAAATAAATTCAAGAATATATTAATAAACTAATATATTAAAATATTTTAGAATTTATTTAGAGACTTCTTCATTCTAAAATATACAAACAGAATAAATAAAAATTTTATTATTTCTAAACTAAATGGCTGCATAAAGAAAGTTCTAAAAATAGAATTTCTTAGTTTGCTTTTTTTTTTAATTTTCTTTTGCTTATAAACTATGATGATTCAAATAAATTGTTATCTATCAATATTTAAAATAAAAAAAAAATTCTTACCAAAAAGCTAATATTATAGTTATTAATAAATTCATTTAAATTGAGAATTTATTAATTATAAATTTTAGATAAAACAACCTTTAGAATAATATTAAAGGTTTATTACCAAACTTCCAACTCAATTTTTTCCAAACCTTATACCTGAGATTATACCAAAGCAGAAAAGATTGAAGAATATATTTAAATTTTTTAATATTACTCAAAATATTTATTGGGATTAGAAACTGAAGAAAATAAGGGGGAATAATCCCAAGTTAATGAAAATATTGAGGGTTTTGAAGAATCAAAACATTATATTTGACTAACCTGAAGTTATAATCAGGTAATACTTATTCTTATAAAGCTTGCCAAACCCTGATTAATTATCTGAGGAATTTAGATTCCACAAAATTAATATGAAATATTTGATTAACTTATTCAGGCACAAATAATTATATGAATAAAGTAGCTTACCTTGTTTATTTGTTGAAAACAACAATCAAAATTATAATTAAAATGATTTTGTAATAACTTTAAAGAGATATAGTTTAGAAAAACGAGAGATTAATTTAGGCAGATTTTAATTGAAATGGCTCAATAAAGTAATGAGAATATATCTTCGATCATCTAATCATTCAATTGATTATTAAAATATAAAAAAACAATAATCAAAAGCATTCAATCAAGGAGAATATATAAGATTGATAGAATCACAATGGCATAGAACGATTAATGAAATTGATTATTTAATTATCAAGAAAAGCATTTATAATTAAATCTTATTTATCTTAAGATGGATCAAAAATATATCTCTTACTTTATAAGTCTTAATAAATATTGGAAATAGCTGCTTAAAATTTTTAAATTTATAAAAATTATCTTTTTCTTTTTAAGATTTATTTTCTCTTGAACAGTTGATAAATAATATCAGCCTTTACGTTTAGATTAAAATATGGAAACTTGATGAATATCATACATCTTTGTATATCTAATATTCAAGACCATTAACTATTT